GGTTTTTGTCAAAAATACTGTAAATATGCATTCTTGAAGCTTAGAACATATACGGGAAGCAGACTTACAATGAACAGAGGAAAAGAGAACAAAGTTGACTTTAAGCACAAGGTATTTTAAGCCAGGTTTTAAAAAATACTTAGCAGCATCACAAAATAAATAGAAATGGCCTACTACTAAGGAGTTTGTAAAAAGCTACTCTCAAAACACTGCTATTTATAAAACAAACACACACCTCAGTAGAGTCATACGGATAGCATGTTGTTGAGAGAAATGCTGCAAATCCGACTAAGGATTCTTGACTGATGCGTGATCACATAGGGGAAAAGTTTGGTATTTACAGGTGGATTCCACACTTCAATATAAAACTGCATACTTGTTAATACTTCAGTCTGGACATCAAGTTTTAAAAAAAAGATTTAGTGTGGAAGTATTTGACTTCTATTTGCAGGCACCGATATTAATTAAAGAAATGAAACTATGATCCATGGTATCCGGATTAAAAATAATTTCCATTAAAAACGCTATTGAAATCAAAGTTATAAAAATACATATACACTGGCATGCAAAACAATGTCCAGTGCAGCATTACTCTCCTGGCAGTCCACAGTGAGAGACTTGGAAAAGTTAAGTGCAGCATATACAGATGTCAGTAAAAGCAGCCTTGAAGTAACATCTTGGCCTCACGATCTCTCCCACAGAGGAGGAAGACCTTTCAGTCTGGTATTAGGAGTGGAGATTAGCCATGCCATCCCTTTCAACGCATGCACTGCCAAAGCCACAAAGCACAGCAGACTTTTCTAAGGAGGAAGTTGCACAAAAACCACTCCGAAGCACAGACTGACTACTCTGCATCAGCTTGCTTAACTACATCAGGCGTTTGGCTTCAATGCTTGTTGCCTAGATGCTCGTTAGAGCAAGTATCAGTGAGGTCAAAATATTGCTCTTAGTTTACCATCTGGGATCTAGGACTTAGGCTGCAGATGCTGAAAATAACAGTCTTATTTACTCATGATAGTAAACATTCACATTTAATATTTGATTTTAGGATACAAGTGACCTGCTGTTCCCTTCCTCTGTTAAGATTTTGCTCAGCCATAACAGGAAGATCTCTCCAAGAAAACACACAATTTTCTTTGGCTTCATTTTCATCCATTTCCATTGTCACTGTGCACTTAATTTTTCAATCTTAACTAAAACTTTCTAGTAACTTTGTAGCGACAAAATGAACTGTGGGGTTAAGTCTGGGGGTTTTGTGGCTAACAAATAAATGCGCAAATTGTGTCATGTGACAAAGCATGAAGCATAGCATTTAAAAACTGTTCAAAATCTTCTCTGGAGAAACACCCTAATGTTCAAAAGGAAAGCACAGGCCTTTGAGAATCCTTTACCTTGCAGAGCCTTCCAACAGCTTTAAGATCAGATAGTTTAAATTTTCTACACAGTACATCCAAGACCTCTATTACCACTTAGCTGTAGTTACTGTGACAAAGTACAAAATTTTTAATTTGTTTCTTTGAAGTTAGTTGAAATTTCTGTACTCGCTAACCGTTTTATAGACTGAGGTTATGCTACCTACTTGTTGGGTTGAGGTACCTTAGTGGCATTTTTGTTCGTAGGCGAGTTTGACTTTACAACCCAGGTAAGCACGCATCTCTATTCACACATCTTCCAGTACTTGTGACTCAAAGGAGAAGAACAACTGCCATAGAAATGAATTTTCTAAAGCATGTCCTTCTGTACAAGGATGTTCTCTTGTTCTGATACTACCTCGTTTTCCCCCATTACTTTATCCGTTGATTCTTACGCAAGAGAAGTGTGGAGGAGGAAAAAACTGTGCAGCTAAAAATACCTCAAAACCTGGCAAATTATATAGCTTGAGAAGGTATCAAAAGAGGACAAGTGCTGCCTGAGAACATCGTCTGCCAAGTGGAAGAATAGGCTTGTTATAATCTATTCTCCTTTTCCTAATCAACTTGTCTAAGTTCAGAAGTAGCCCAAGTGTTATGTTTGGACTTCCCTGAACTTGCTGGAAGACTTGGATTTATCACTATCTTAATACTTTGTCTAAAGGGGCTTCCGTAATAAAAGTGCAGTGTTTAAACAATCATTAACAAGTTTGTTCATATTTCAGCTGGAATGCAAAGTTATTTAAACTATTTAAAGGAACTAATCCTTCAAAAATAGATTAACTTAAACTAAAACAATAACAATCAAAATACAATCCTGAACTAATTTAGCCCAG